AGCCATCTTCCACCACAGTGGAGACAGGGATTTTGCCCCCTTTCCTCACCACAATCCTCACTCACGATACATCATGTAGGCTACAAGTGACATCAATAAAGCCCCCACAGATTTCCCCAATCTTCTTGAAGAGGTCAAGGCACCAAAGATGCACCAGGAGACCCACCATGTTGACCACCAATGTTTCGTCGGTGAAACGATGGTTGAGACACCCATCGTGCTCCACCCATCTGTTTAGATGTAAAAAGTTCCCATCAAACCATCTGTTTCCTCTAACAAGAATTTCTGAAGCTTGAGACTCGTCGAGAAATCAAAAGAGATATTGTGTATCCCCAAGTTGCATTATTTTCAGCCCGTCATTGACGTTCCATGCATCTGCTGCCCAATTCCTAACAGCCTCTGGAGAACCAACCCATTTGGAGAAAGATCCAATCAAACAAGATTTCAAGAAACTCTTGCGCCTGAGAGTGTGCTCCTCGGACAGCGAGAAGTGTGGCTCCTGCCCTACGTCAAGCTTTCGATGACATCTTCCCTCAAGATCTAGGGTTGGCCAAGAGGCAGCTTTGATAAAAGACATTTTTTCCAGTTTTCTAGATTCTAGAGAGAAGTAGGAGTTTCTCTCTGTAGAGCCCATCATTTCTAAAAGGCTGAATGAAGAACAAAATTTGAAATCTGGTCGGAAAAACCTCCCCCCGTCGACGGAAAATAGTGAAAGTTGTCGGATTTTGGAGAAAGATAGATAGGTAGACTCGGAATAGCCTCTCCAGACGAGATCTGGCCGGAAATTGCCTCACGCGCTGGCGCGTGGCATAAAGATCACCGGAAGTGGGTCGCGCGTGAGGGCGCGTGGGAGGCTGTCCGTCGGAGATTTTCCTGGGTTTTGGTCGCAATGGGGGTGGCTATCTGTGGGTGGTGATAGAATCCTAGGATTCATGGTACAGAGATGCCTCGGGAGTAGTGCCTGAGAGCATCTTAGGGTTTCTGTTTTTATAATCTTCTTTAAACACGTCCTATTTTCAATAATATAAAAAGGATAGGTTACTCAAACAAAGAAATAAAAGTATATCCCAAATATTAAACAAGAGAAACTAATAACCAGAAGAAAAGGTTAAACGTTTGATGATAATATAGAAGCAATCACTAAGCAAGGTTCCTTCAGTTGTTGGAATTAAGACTATTGTTAATTAGATAACAGTTATGACCTAATAATATCTTAGTTCAAATTGTGAAAAGATATGCATCAGGCCAGATTAATTTAATTGATTATGTGTATGAACAAGTGAGGCTTGATATTCACCTGTGATGGATAGAGTTCTTTATAAGTGGAGACGACCAACCCCTTTCTCTAATTATCCAAAAAAGCAAAATATCCCTAATTTTTGAAGAGAAATCCAATTTCCATTGTTAGACATAATTCTTTTGCTTCAAATTGGCATTGCAGATTAATGGTGTTTCTGCAAACTAGTATTGACGAGGCAGATTCGCCCGATAGATGTAGTCATAGAGTTCTCAGATATCAGACTCAAGGGACCCAAAGGAAAAAGGAATAGACAAAAGATCCAAATCCCTCTCTAAGGTATTAAGAACTTGCAACTACTACTAAGAATTATATGATCAGGATAGAGTTAATTCAACACAACATAGAAACTAAAGTTGTTCACTTCTTTTTGTTTGTCACCATCTTGCTTTATAGAGGGTATTGCTATTTGCTCCTGTTGTTATAGCTGCACTGAGAAATAAATACCAAAAGGAAGCTGATGGTTGGCATGAAATAATTCTAGCATCTGATTGCACGAGAAACCAGTTTAACATACAAAAATTAATTATTTTAGCTGGTACTTACAAGGATAGAACTATTAAGATTTAGACAATGGTTGGTATGGACGTCGATGATCAGGAACCCCTTCTTCAGACCGTCTGTCTTCGAACCATTTCAGAACTCTTTTGCGAGGCAGATTTGTCACATGCACAATGCTGTTAATCATGGCATTCTGCATCTCCACAGCGGAGAGAGTATAAGGATAACAATGTTCTCTCTTTCATCCTTAGATATAGCACTTAGCAATTGCATGCAACAACATCACCAAGCAAACCACATATCCATTTTCAACCGTACAGTTCGGAGAAACCAGTATGAGGAGTCACGGGTCGCGTAAAAGATGCAATGTTGGACTGATTTAGCAGTGCTTACTAGCTCAGATCGGATTTTCTGAATAAATCATCAGTATCCAGCTTATATCAAGAAATCATACCGCACAAAGTTGAAGAGAAAAAGTACCACGTATGCCTCAGCCCCAAACAAGTTGAGATTTTTTTTTTTTTTTTTAAAATTCAATTATGTGATCCAAGTATTTTAAGTTCTAAGTGATCCCTAATGATAGGGGAACTAGCAGGCATTTAAACTATTAATAGAAGGGCACAAAGGTATTGAGTTGGTTGAACAAGAGCTGCCGATTGCAATGGGTTGCCATTCTACGGAGTCATTTCTCAGATTTATCGACCCAGTGCTAAAGTTATTACTATGTCAAATCTCTTGGGGTTTAGTTTACAGCTTGTAGCAACCACTCATTTCACCTTAAAGTTATTGGCAATTTCTAATCAAATGCCAACCCCAAGGATAGTAGATGTAGAGCAAAACAGATAACCTGAAATAGGTCTGTCTAAATTTTCTCATCACATCCATCCTCATCCCGAACAAATAAGGAAAGAAAAGAAAAAAAGATAAACATGAAAACAACAAACAAGATATATTGGGAACACAGATAGGGAGGACAGATGTGTTGAGATTTGGACAACGAGAGCAAGAAAGCAGATTGAATATCCTAGATTAAACTTGACCCCCAAACTCCAATGTCACAAGAGCCACCACTCAACATTGTTGGCCTCAATAACGAACATTTTACATCCCAGACTATTTGATATGTCAGCAGGATCTTTTTCCCGTTTCCCACACCCAAGCCCCATTGTTCAGATGCAGAGTTAAGCAACAATATGCAGAAGCTTTCTATTCAGATATGAAATTTTACCAACATAGACTTAAAAGCATAAAAAACAATAGAGAAGTAATGGGACTCACAGTGGGCCGCTTTGATCGTCTATAAACTTGTTCAAGGGTTTCTAGTTGGACTTTCTTTATCCTCTTTTGAGCAGACCAACTACTTTGCATCACGTGGACTGGTGTTTCCACCTTAGCCTCAAGCCTTGCAACATCACTTATCTCTATGGGAACAGTCTCCTGGGGTTTGCTTTCAGGCTCTATCATTCTGGGGGCAGGTTCATCGGGTAAGGCATCACTCAGCAACAAAAGGTTTGGCGGAGGATTGCGAAGTAATTCAAGAACAATGGCTCTATCAAGGCATAGTTCAGCAGCAAGATTTTTTATCTGGAAGGAAAAAGTGAATTAGAAGTTATAGAGTTAGCAGCACTAGACATATTCTCTTTCAATAGGTAGCAGAGGTTAAAAGAAACATTTCCACATTTTTCTGCGCTTCCAATTCTGCTACAGGTTCCAAAACTTCCAGTCTATACTTATCAATGATATGCTTCATTTGCAAATTAGTATAGTTTTAGCTAATTAACGTCAAGAATATGGTGCAAGCTAAAAGTAGATGTCCAGTTAAATGCTACATAAACAATGGAATCTGAAGAATGGAAGTACACAGGAACAAATGAGATTAACAAGGTAAATTTTGCCCAAGCATTTGAAAACTTTAGACACGTGGATAGATAGCACCAATGTTCTTTGCGTCATGCTTAAAGCTGGAAGACGCAAAGAGCCGAGTGAACCAAAGTGGCCTTAAGGCTCACGAATAATGAGTAGCTGTAACGCCATTGTGGCATCAGATTTGAGAAGACTAGCATTAAGATGACAACTTACATTTGTCTTACGCCGTCCCTTTCTCAAGGCATATCCCAGTTTCTTAAGTTGCCAATTTTTCAATTTCACTGGCAATTCTTCATCTTTATCATCCTCATTATCATCATTTGCTACTACTTCTTCATCTTCATCCTCACTCTCAATTTTCTCATTGGCAATTGAGGCAATTTCTCCTAGTAGTTCATCATCCTTCAGTGCCTCCTCCAATTCACGTTCCAGCTTCGCGAGGTCCTCCTCACTTATATCATCATCGTTCAAAGATAGGTCATCATTTTTCAGATCTTCTTCCAGCAGCTGAAAGAGTGCCTCAAAAGCATCTTCATCTATATCACCATTTTCCTCAGTGTCTATTGTAGGTGGACTCTGACATAGGAAGCAAACAACAAAACCTCAGGTTCAGTAAACAATTAAAAGGTGTGTAATACAAACATCCAGGTGTAAAGAAGAGGTTGTTAATTATATCAAAGTTCATGAGCAAGTCTTCACCAAAAAAGAAAACACAGATATGTTTCTACTGAACTCCTAGTGAAGGCAAATAGTTTGAATATTCAAGTGAAAGATCTCAAAATATCAAACCACGTTAAACATTAAGCTTGTACATAGTAATTAAAACCAGAGACAAATCACATTCCACATCCCAGAAAAGATAAGATAAGAATAGGATTGCTATCAAAACGGGTGAAGAGACAGGGTATCATGATGGATATTTACATGTCCAATAAGAAGTTCAAGGGACAGGGTTCTTTTTTATGGTTATTCACATGCACCAGGAAAAAATAGCTGCATAAAATCTAAACTTGGAGTAGTGGCCTACAAAAATGCACCTCGTCAACCGTAAAAGCTACAGAGTTAGTGTTACACGTATTGATCAGCAGAACGCTATTCTATCTGTCTATCATTTACAATCACACGGAAAAAAATGTCCTGCTATTGACTCCTTATACTAAAAGCAGCAGGCAAGTAGATCAAGTACGTCGAAACAGTTAAGCATGATTACAGAAAGGCATCCAGTGGACAAGTAATTTGAGTGGTGCAACAATTGCCATTAAAATATAAGGTGCAATTTTGTTAAGATGTTAAACAAAAATCATAACAATGTATGATGCTTTCCCATTGCTCTCTTCAACTACATCAATATGGCACATGAAGCCTTATGCTATTGACTTGGAACTTTTTTAATTCCTTTAACAATCATATAAAATCAAAATTGTTTGTGCCTAGCCCCCCCCCCCCCCCCCCCCCCCCCCCACTCCCACCCCCCGGGAGGAGGGGGACCATAAATCATAGGGGCAGAGGTAGCACATAAGCTACGGGTTCGGCAGAACACAATAGCTTTTCGCGCGAACCCTCTGTATATGTTAAAAGATCTACTAAAAATGTGCAAATATTAAATTTCGAACCGAGTAACTCAAATAGCTAGTGGATTTAGTGGCATTTCGAACCCATAAACTTTAAATCCTCACTCCGCCTTTGATCATGTTTGCGAAGCATAAGTATTTACTCATACAAGCACCTTAAAGTCTACAATTATTCAACAGATGAAAGTAAAAGGTAAATTCATAAACAGCAACCTATATCAGTAAAAACAAGAAAATTGCTCAATAGTTACAGGAGTAACATTCATATGCGAATCAAAGTTGTAGAAACAAATAAGCAGCTAACATTTTCTCAACAAAGACCCAATTTTTAATTTGCAAAACTCGAGAAACTGTATAGAAGATAAAATTGGCTATTTACAAAGTATAGTACATAGTATATACCTTTTTCTTTTTCTTGGAAGAAGTGATAGCAGAATTGGCGCTGTTGCTTCGACGGCGGGAGAAAGTGAGAACGGAGGAAGAGGGACGAGAGGACGAAGAGTGAAGTGGCAAAACAACGTTTGTTCTGCTTCTGGGCTGACCCGCAAGAAGATGAAGATCGTTGGTTGAACAGCGGAGTGTAATGGAAATGCGAAGAGTCGTGGAAGCAGAGGCCATTCTCCACTTTCTGAATAGCTTCGAGGCTTATCTGTATTCTGTTTGAAGGGTTTAAGAAGGGGGTAATTGGCGATAATATTATTTGGAAGGGGCCCTTTTTCGCTTTTCTCTTTTTATGTCATTATTATTATTATTATTATTATTATTATTATTGTTGTCGTCGTCGTCATGTTGTTTAATCCAAAAATTAGTTTTCGAATAAATAATTTATTGTATTTGTTGGAAGGATTGAGTTAGCTTTGAAATACTTGTAGAGAAAAATAAAATTGGAATAAATGAATCTCACGTAGTTGTCATTCACTATATACATAGTTATATACGTACATCTGATGACTAATCATAATACCTAGCCATAATTAACCTTTAACTACTAATTCTAGTTAACTAAACCTCACTTACAACTTACTATGTACCATTCTACAATTCACAATACAAGATACAAGTAAAGTCTGCTATTAACACTTTCTACACTCCCGCTCAAGTTGGCTGATGAAGATGATCCCCAACTTGCATAACATTTCACAGTCTAATTGTTTTCCCAAAGCATTGGTTAGAATGTCTGCTACACGCTCCTTGCCTGGCACATGCTCTGTTCTGATTAGTCTTTAATGTAGCCTTTTTCTACTCCTTGCCTGGCACATGCTCTGTTCTGATCAGTCTTTGATGTAGCCTTTTTCTACTGAAATCGCTGGCAATCTCTATATGCTTTTACGCTCATGATACATGTTATCTTGCCAGATGGTGTACTACTCATTAATAATCCATTCAGGTTTATCCTCGATGTATCTTACCGCTCGCAGTGCTGCTTCATAATGGGACTCCTTTGGGGCATGGATAAATTGATTTAGGTGTTGAATAGCAAATGAGATATCTGGTCTTGTAGTGACCAAGTAAAGTGGTCTTCCTATCAGCCTCTGATATACTCCTATGTATTCTAATTCCTTGTCCCTAGAGATATCAAATTTTTGATCATACTCTTGACTTGTTAGCTTTTGACTTTGTTCCAAAGGTGTTGTAACTGGTTCTGGTTTAGCTCCCCCCTAGACCACATTCTCAAATTAGTTCCAATACATATTTCCTTTAGTTCATAGTATACTTCTATCAGATCTGGCGAATTCAATTCCAAGGAAAAATCTCAATTCTCCTAGATCCTTCATTTTAAAGTTGTGATTCAAAATGCCTTTGGCCTCTCGAATCAGTGTGACATTGCTGCCTGCGATTAACAAGACATGAACATACACCAAAATTACAACAATGTCCCCCTTGTGCCTTTTAGTGAACATATAGCAGTCAAGCTTGCTTTGGACATAGCCATAATTGGTCAAGGTTAGCTTCAAATTCCACTGTCTAATTGCTTGTTTTAATTCATACAGTAGCCAAGAAGTGCCTTGAGTCATAGTATAGATTTCACGATGCAATTGATACATTCGTCTGAGATTCCATTTATCGAAACGCTCTTTCAAGTCCATCCACATTGTGCATTAGAAGAGTACATAAGGCTATTTGCAAGCTCTCTTGATATGAATTGGTAATCCATGAAAAAAACAAAAGCATTACATATATCCCACTTATGTATCAAATCATCCTTATACATCGATAAACCCTAACTTGTTTTTAGACAGTAATGCAACTCTCATTGAATTACAACATGTAGTATAGTTTTCAATTCTAGTTAGATGTTGAGGAATTAAGATGCTAACTAGTGAATCGATGGGAGTAAATACAATGGATTTCTAGGATGAATGTCACTGAATTTCTCAATCAAGCCGACAATAATACGCCATTCGGTTGTTGAAGCATTTGGCATGATGAACCGATAGGAGAAATTGAAGATTTGACAACAGCGAAAAAATTTAGGGTTTCTGGACCTCGATTACTCCAGAATTTTTTTGGAAAATGCACAATTTTCGATGAAATCCACCTCACTACGCACTACAATTGCTCGAACTCGTGGTGTTTCAGCTCAAAGGACTATTGATCGATAGCTCTAATACCATGTTGGGAGGATTGAGTGAATTGTGAGATACACCCAGCCGAGAGAGGTGATGCGGAGCAGTTGTAGAGAGAGAAATAAAATTGGAAGAAATGAATCTTACTTAGTTGTCCGTATTTTACCGCCACTAGCAAATTGATTAATCCAAAGTGCATATACTGAAATGAAGAACAATAGCAATAAATAAAATGGAATTGAGGTCAAATAAGAGAAATCTTATTGATCGTCGGCCTTTGATGTGACTATGTTGAAATGGATTACAATCCTTGAAAAAGACAAAAGAGAAAGATATCTTGCAAAAGAATACGAAGAGTACACGATAAATAATCTCAAATGTTATATGTAATCAAATGTGTATGACAAATAAATAAAGTAGGATATTTATAGCCTAGATGAGACGAGGTTGTTCTAAGTTCCTAGCATGCATGCTTGGTATGCGGTTAGTAGTTTTTTTAAAGAAGTTTTAACTTTGTAAGTAAAAAATTATTTTTTCGCACTAAACTACAATATTTTTTCAAGTAAAATATAAGTCTAAATATAATTTCAAATTCTAAATACCCCTTTTCAGTTTAACTTCACATATTATTTTTTCATCAAAAATCATAATTTTTATGTCCAGTTGCCTACTTATTATCTCGCCAACATATATAATAGAGATCCTCTAAAAATCTCTATTCTCGTTAGCTGGACATCACCAGTAAAAGAAGGTTGCTACAAACTAAAACAGGGCTACAACCTGCTGGTAATCCCGTGAAGGGCGAAGTGAACAAATAGTCAACGTTCAATTTTTGCAAGTTTAGCCGCTTTAAATCAACTTCAAACGCACGAGTATGAAGTTTAGAAATAGAGGCCTGAAGTTTGACTTGCCAAAACTCTAAACAATTTGAAATCAAGAAAGCTTCAATATTTTTACATATTTCTCAAATATCCTCGTTCTTTTAGTACAAAATATCAAAGACATTGATAATATGCCCAACTGAGAATAGTTTATATAGAAAGTCTTCATCTTTTCCAATGTTTTCAAAAAAGATTTCAACAATATCCACTTAATTTAAACTCGTTATATTTGAAATTCAAGATCCACTTGTTCAAGCTTTCAATTGTGGCAATATTTTAAAGACACTTGTGACAAATGTCTTAACAAAAAACATGTGGCAAACCTTCTAGAAGGGAAGAGATATATGGCAAGAAGCTTTTGAAAAGTGGCAATTGCATTTGCCACGTTCTTTCCTCTCATCATATGGATCCATGCACATATGCCTATAAATAGGCTCTCAACTAGACAAGAAGATCATCATTAGCAAGACAAAAAAAATTCTTCTTCTTCCAATTTATTTTCTCTCATGATTGCTAATGATTAGTAATCACTACTACAAGCCTTCTCATTTTCAATTACGCCTAGCCTTTTGTGTGTTCCGATTTCTTTTGTAACCTGTGTTTATTTCTCCATTCCAAATATGCTGGTATTATTTAATTTTACTGATTTCTGTATCCTCTAAATAAATAGAGATGTGCTTGTTTAATTCTGGAAAAATATTACACATTGCTGAAATAATTTCTTAGATTGTAGGGGAATGACGACACCGGAAAATAACTTTTTAGAGATGAATTCAAGATTTAAATTTAATAATTTTAGTTTTTATGATATTTAGCATTGAATTTATTATGCTGTTAAAATTATAGGTTCGGATCAAATATTAATTGAAATTTAATTGATTTTTACACATAAATTTATATATGTGTCGAAATTTATGAATTCAATTGAACGCGTAAGCCTAAGGCTACATTCACCTTTGGTAGTAGCAGGCGGGCACTACATGTAGCCGGATGATCCCTCCCTGCAGTGCTAGCTATTCCCATGCTCATTTTTGTAATGGTCATGGCTCAGGTTGTAATTGCCACACCCCAGTTCTGTTGTAGTTCGATTACTACAGTTGTGCGATCAACACACTATCACAATCTTTCTTATACTGATGACTTTAATTAATATTTCCTCCGTTCACTTTTATTTGTCCACTATACTAAAAATACATTTTCACTTTTACTTGTCCACTATACTAAATCAAGAGAAAAATAATTTTTCCCCATGTTTTACCCTTATCATTAACTCCTTATTCCCCAAATCATTTCCCAAGACTTTTTAAAAAGCTATCATTATTATTGGTAAAATTGTCAAATACATACTTCATTTATTTTTTCTTAAAGGGAGTGCAAAGTCAAATGCGGACAACTAAAAATAAACGGAGGGAGTAGGTTTCTTTTTTGGAGGACGAAAAAAACATATGTTGCATATACGGAGTTTTATGAAACACGGTTGATTCCAAAGAGAAGATTATGATAGATAAAGATTTGCACAAAATCAATCTTTTCTTTTCACCCCGGTGCACAAATATTCCGCATTCACGCAAGGTACGGAGGAAAAGCTGCACCTTCACCGGGTATAGACAACCTATTTTAATGCAAAAATTAGTAACTTAATAAATTCTTTGAATAGGTTAAAAAGATGCAGATAAATGATTTCAACTAATGTATGGTTGATATGTAATTAATTGATTAATTGAATAAAGACATTTTTTAACACATAGATACGTCATTATGGAAAAAAATATTGACCATCAATTCATCAAACGATGCCGATAAGTTTCATGACCTCAACAAATCGATCCTAAAGGAGCTCCAGCCATTCAATTGACTAACCTGTGAGCTGTGGATAGGAACTGATCCAATGCTTTAAGTATGTAGGAGTAAAACAGAGTTTTTGACTAAAATTATCCCTTATCTATAGGAGTAGGTCTATTTCTATCTTCCAAATATAACTTAGAGTATCTTTAATCCCTCAACTTTGCTAAACTGGAGCATCTTTGCTCTCACTAACAGATCTATATTAAAAGCTAACAGTGCTATCCATGTGACTCTCACGTGGTGATTGTAGACACCGGATTTTTGACCCTCCCCGAGAATTTTCACATTTTTAGCGTGAATATGT